GTCAGACAGAGAGGGACTGAGTCAATGTGGAAGAAGTATGACTATTTCCAACCACAATAACTGGAGCAGCAGCTACCTGAGCTGACAGAAGGACACATATGAGAACATTTTGGCCACAGTCTGGAGCCCTGTGTAGACACGTTGCTGTGTTATTATAACATAAATTATAACATTATATTACGTTATAATATATCAGGTAAATCCCATTAATTTATCAGATTAGGAAACACACATCTCTCGCGAGCCACATAAAATGATGTGACGAGCCCGATTTGGCCCGCGGGCCTTGTGTTTGACACATGTGGTGTAGAGATATTTGAAAACAGCTTCCCAGGAAAAACCTGGGTGCGGTACACAATATGCAAAGGATGGGCCCATGAAAAATGCACCCCTGGCAAATCAGTCTACATTTGCCAGAACTGCAATTCGGATGAGTCTGAGTAGGGACTAGTTTAAGAAAGGTAAAACAGGCATTTGAGGCAGTCTGGACTTTAATCCAGTGCATGCTGCATATTGTTTTGTGTTAACGTTTGTTCAATGGCCATGTTCAATGACTTCTTCAAACTCAATGATAAACATTGTCTGTGCCTAACTTCAATGTTCAATTTCAAGTTAAAAAAAAAGAACAACAATAATTTTGTCGTTGTTTTATTAGTTACAAAATCCAGTGTGACATCTTACCTCATATAGTGAGACAAATTACCAAATGGTGGGGCAACATGTCACATGTTCACACTTTCCATTTAATTGCCTATAACTCTGCACTGACAAAAGATGTGAAAATGACATGAATACAAAATATATACATGAGACTTTGGTCTTTCATATGGTACACATTTTTATTTTATGTGATTGTTATAATTTGCAAGTTTCAAAATATCATGTATTCTGAATCTGTATTTTTCCACTGAACCTGTGATCTTGTTTTGTACTTTTCTACTGAGCACAATGTACGTCCTTGAAGATAACGTGGCCGGTGAGAACTGGTTCACATATTGGGAGACAGCAGAAACTCCTTTAGATACACGCCTTTTGGACAACACACACACACACTTTGTATTTGATCCAAACAGTTTCTGTTTACATTCCAGTGAATTTCTACGTGAACAGTGGTTAGCCTGTTCCCATCACAGTAACTGGATAATTATACTCGGTTGTGTACAAGTCCAACCTCTGTTTGGGGCAGGCCCAGCTCAAGAAGATAAATGTGAATCATTTCTGGATATCAGGGCTCCTTCTGATAGAGCTCTCGTGAGAGACCTGTCACTCTGAGCCCAGCGCTGCCTCACTTTACCTGTGACCTAAATAAATTCTACATCTGTGAACTGAAGATTTCTCCGGTTTGTTCTTGGGCTTCCAAACCAAGAATCAGGTTAACATGATGTACTGAGTCCAAGAAATATATATGAGTATAATAAGTGTGACCACAAGCCCCGGTCTCCCCTACCTCTTAAAAATCTTAAAAAAATAAAATAAAAAAATTGCACGTTTGGTTTTTGTATTTCACTTTGAGTTTTCCCAGAAGTGTGACTTTTTCACCTGTGTATTCAATTCAATTCAATTCAATAATACTTTATTGATCCCTAACAGAGAAATTCCATCCACAATTACATCCGTCCACAAAACATAAAGACAATAACTGGGGGAGACAGGAACTGTCGGGTCTGCCAGCCAAACCGGTGCCCTTATCAATTAGAGGAAAAAGGAAAAACAAGAGGGAAAAATGAGGGGAAAAAAGGCAATTCCCAAACTAGGCTCCTCCAGTGGGGGGGGGTATGTTTTCAGTTTCAAACTTGTGCCTGACAGTTTTGTGTCTGGGAACTTCTTCTTGTTATCTTTGAAGGATATGATTAACAGCGATGACCCCGTGTCCAGTTCCATCTTTAATGGTACTCTGTTGACTTTTGGGGTCAGCCATATCACATCACTGTTGTCCTCTTCTGTATCATACAACCCTAAACAGGCTAATTCTTCCTCGTTAGAGCTGCAACAGTCTGCTGGTGATACTTTGTGAAGCTTTTGTCCTCTTTTTACATTCGGTTTGTGTTTTCAGTTGCTGTACTTTGACTTACACATTGTCTGTATGTGCCCTCTTTTATTACATTGCCGGCAGTCTTTATCTTTAAACCAACACTCTTTGGGGTCATGTGACTGTTTACCGCATCTGAAGCGGTGCTTTGACTTGGTATTACGCTGCTTGGTGTGTAGTTTGAACACAGAGCATGTAGCTGTGTTTTACCTTCAGTCGTATCCTTTGCTGCTGTTTCCACTGATACAGCAATTTTCCCTGCTTAAGACATGCTCTGGATTTTTTGTCAAAGATTCAAAACTTTATTCATGATGAAGGTCATACAATCTTCACTGCTGAGAGCAAAAGAACACAAGGCTCCACACAGCTGGGACTCTTTGTCAGCCTGGCCACAGTGCTGAAAAGAAACAAAGGGTTGTTCTTGTTTTCCTAAATTAAGGATGAATAATAAGCAGTTCTTCAATTCTTCTGAATTTGTAGAGCACCACTGCCTGGTCAAATCTGGCTGGAAACACTTTCTGCAAAGGAGTGAAGGAAAACGATGCTGGGATGTCTACTGGAGTCCAAGAGGTGGGCCGGGGTGGCCACAGGACCACAGACTCCCAACTGGTCACCACACAAACAACTGGACCTACATCCAGTACGTGCTATTTTTCTGGTAGAGCTTTTAGAGGAACCATTTCTCTATGGTCGTTCTCATACAGATGCATTTTACCAACACAGCCACCTCCATTCAAACACATACAAGCAGGTAGTTCTGACCAACCAGAAAATGTTCACACAGATTTTGAAGCAATTCAAAGATTTCATATTATTTTCACTGAAAAGTGAACAAAAATATATGTACAGAAAACATGTTTATGCAGATTTTTATTAGTTAGAGTTTGTGCAGTTTCAATTCAAATGGATTTAGTTGAAGGAACTTGCTGAAAACAATGAGTATGAAGTAATTATGGTACTAGTTCCATCCTGCCCGGTACCAGTCAGCTGACCAAGCTGAGTGGAGTCAGCAGCTTTATGCCCTCCTCTGGTTTCCTGTTGTTGACTGGGAGGAATCCGTCCAAACTTTGCTATTCCTGACACATGTAGCTGCTTCTGTAAACGTGTGGATAAAGAGGCAGTAAGTTCTGTGTTCTGGAGGCTCCCGCTCAGCTGCAGTCACGAGTTGCCGCCGACAGCAGCCACTTCCTCCTCAGCACACCGACACACGATGCCTTCCCTGGAAGAGTTCAAGCAGGCTTTGGAAAGTGCAGGGCAGCCTCACGTCCTGCAGTTCTGGCCGGAGCTGAGTGAGGACCAGAGGGACGCTTTCCTCCAGGAGCTGGCCCAGCTGGACCTGCAGGGGCTGAAGGCGCACTGCGAGGCGGCCGCCGCGGCTGTCTCCGCCCCGCCGGCCTGCCTGGACCAGGACATGGAGCCGCTCCACCCGGACACCGTCGGCAGCGTGAGGAAGAGCGACACAAAGAGTCTGTCAGAGTGGGAAGAGCAAGGTGAGAGTCCGAGACTTTGGTGGAAGGAGATCAGGCGACAGACGGTCCAGCTGAGCTCGGTCCGGTCCGGTCCGGTCCGTAGAGCAACTAGTGCTGAGGTCGCTGCAGGGTCCGGTGGTACCGATGTAGGGGTTTCACTCAAACACCTCCCTCAGACTTTATTATTATTTAATGGGACTTTTATACTAACTTACATATCAGAGGGCGAGTTGGACCGTTTTTATGTTTCTGACTAAACGTGAAAAGGTGGACACTGGTTGGTAAAACTCATCATTTTAAGGTTGTGGTTCGATAAAACCAGAGTTTCTCATGTTTCACACATTCCAGCAGTCAAACCATTAAACCGTCTAAGAACAGCTGGACCAGTGGTCAATCAAAAGGTTATTTTCAGAGCTGATTTTGATTATTGATAATCAGTGATAGCATATTTAAAGCTGATGTACATTTGTGGTAAAAAATGAAAATCCTGGTGTCAGAGTTTAAAATAACACAAACTGGAACACAAAACTTTGTTAAAATACTTTTATTTCTATATGTTTAAATAAAAGGGAACTTTTCTTTGACTGTTGCTATGCCAACACATGATGTGTAACCAGTCAGATATAGAAAGCCAAAGCAGTTCATCTTTATTTATTATTATTTTTTGATCAGGAAATAGGGATAATGATCATCAGAAACATGCTGAACATTGGATTCAATTATTGGTCGACCCCTAAGTCTGAGATCCAAAAAGGTCAGATTATCTCATCCTTAGGATTATGTCCTTTCTCATCTTTACTAGAGAAAAATCCATAACAATATTTATGGAAATCTGGTTCTATTAGAAAATCAAATTATCCTTGCAAATTGTATTCCATATATGACATCAACATTTTAAACTCATACAGCAGGGTTGAGCTTAGTGCACACCTGAAAAGAACAGACCAGAACTAAAATCTTCACATACCTGAAATCCTATATCTCAGTAGACAGGAACCAAATCAGTGTTGCAGCTTACTGAAATAAAAGAAGAGGATATTTTCAAGTTTTTGCAAATTGATGCAGTGATATCAATGACTGCATGGAAGGCTAGAAACATGATTGTATGCTTTTAGCAGTATTTATACACTACCATAACTTTACTGGCTTCAACCTTCTCAAGAAAATAGTCCACTCAAGGTACATAAAGGCATGAACACTGATGTCATTGTGCTGATGTGCTATTTAGGACACAAATCTGTAAAATTCCCTTACATTCATTCTGCTGCTGCTGCTGCTGCTGCTGATGGTACCACTCTGTCCTGACAGGCCTGCTGCAAATCTCAGAGAATCGTGTTGGAGTCCTGCTCCTGGCTGGAGGTCAGGGGACCCGTCTTGGTGTTCAGTATCCCAAGGGGATGTACAATGTTGGGCTGCCAAGCAGCAAAACCCTGTATCAGATTCAAGCAGAGCGTATTCACAAAATCCAGGAGATTGCAGACAGCAAGCATGGCTCCAAATGCACTGTACCATGGTAAGATTCTATGATGAACACTTTCTCTACTAATGTGATTAATTGCAGGTATATATTGGGCACAAGGCATACTGAACAGTTTGGTAAACACATGTTAACTATTTTTGGCCACTTGGTTGCAGCAGAAAAAGCTCTAAAGGGAAACCTGTCAGCAAAGAGTTACTTAAACACATTACAGCCCAACCAACACTGTATTTTTGGGCCAGACCAGTACTATATATACATATATTTACATATATACTCACAGTATGTTAGAGTTGTATTTGGCAGTGTATTTGGAAACTAGTTTGCAGTTTACTGTAAAAGACTCTCTTGATTCAGCTGTGATGTTTCATCAAGACACAAAGCTCACTTGTTGAAGAATGTTTCAAAATTCACATGTTTTTATGTCACACAACCAAAAGAGTCAAATTCAGAAAGCTTTCTCTCTTGTTACTGAAACACAGTACTGTCTTTCAAAGTAATATTTCAGTTTTGTTGAAGTAACAGTATTTTGTTACTTAGTTTGTTATCACACATAAATAAGTTGCTGGCTAACTCTTGTAGAGCAGAATTAACAACTGTTAATGTTAGGCTGGAAGTTGACTAACTAGTTTCAAGCTGTCTCTCTGAGTACAGCAGCCAAGAACAACACTGGTCAGAGCGGTGACGGGAACAAGAACAGAAACCTTTAGACTGTAAACCAAAACTTTGTGTGTAAAAGAAAGCTAAAGACACCTTCACATACAGCTGAGCCATTGTTAACACACACACAAAAAAGATTCTGGCAGCTTTAAATAATGTTAGGTTTTAAAATGCTGAGTGTTTGAGAGCTGCACAGTGGCTCAGTGGTTAGCACCGTTGCCTCAACCGGGTTCGTCCCAGTTAGGACTCCTGGGATCTTTCTGTGTGGCGTTTGCATGTTCTCCCCGTGCAGTGTGGGTTCCCTCCGGGTTCTCCTGCTTCTTCCCACAGTCCAAAAACATGCTGAGGTTAATTAGTGATTCTAAATTGTCCATAGGTGTGAATGTGAGTGTGCTTGATTGTCTGTCTCAGGTAAAACCCTGAGTCAGCTGGGATAGACTCCAGCAGGGGGGCTGGAGCCTACAGAGGGTTAAGCAGTGTATAGATGATGGATATTTGATTCTCCATCCATCCATCCATAGGGTCGCGGGGGGGCTGGAGCCTATCACAGCCGACTTAGGGCGAAGGCAGGGGACACCCCGGACAGGTCACCAGTCTATCACAGGGCCACACTTAGAGACAGACAACCAAGCACACTTACGGACAATTTTAGAATCTCCAATTAACCTCAACATGTTTTTGGACTGTGTGGGAGGAAGCCGGAGAATCCGGAGATATTGTAAGAGATATCTGTAACCAAGATTCTAGAGACTAGGTGTTTAACATTTAACATTTTCAGCTTTTTGTCTGTATTATTGCACCTCTTCAGGTACATCATGACCAGTGAGTTCACTCTGACTCCCACCGAGAAATTCTTTAAGGAGAACAACTACTTTGGCCTGCAGCCATCAAACGTCATCATGTTTGAGCAGAGGATGATCCCAGCAGTGACCTTTGATGGAAAGGTCATCCTGCAGGGTAAAGGGAAGATAGCCATGGCCCCAGGTAGGTGCATAGAAGCTCCTTCAGCAGACCCAGACAAACACATCAGCGAAATGACCAATGCTTTGATTTCAGATGGTAATGGAGGTCTGTACCAGGCACTGCTGGACAATAATGTGCTGGAGGACATGAAGAAGAGGGGAGTGGAGTATCTGCATGTTTACTGTGTGGACAACATCCTGGTCAAGATGGCCGACCCTGTGTTTATTGGCTTTTGTGTGAGCAAGGGGGCTGACTGCGGGGCCAAGGTGCAGTAATAACACATCACACAGTGGATGTAAAATATTAAGGAGTATTTCAGCATTGTCACAGATAAAACTATTTGCATTTTTTTCCAACAAATTCAGATATTTAATTCGTAGGAGTGGCTGAATATTTTATTTTACTTTATATTTAACATAGAGCTACAAATGTTGACTCAAAACTGCAGTAAATGTTTGGTTTTTTTTGGTTTAAAAAAAAAAAATCAACCCTGTTTCATCATACATCTGAAGAAACAATTGTAAGAGAGAAAATTTACATATGGGAGTCACCCTAAAATGCCTTGCTCATGGTCCAGCTGTCAGTAAGACTACTGCAGGTTTGTATGTATGGACTTGTTGCTCTGATAACAACAGCTTCCAAAAAAATCCAGACTCAAGTCAACATATAAGCATTCTAATCTGCATAAGTTCTAACAAAGCCCAGGTGTTTTAGAGATTTTTCCTTTAGACCTGTAAATGTCTGGTAACCTTTCACTAAGTGTCTGTGTACAAACCACCAAATTCAGGTTGCAGTGATGTTTTCTAAAGAGCAGCAGCTTCCTTTGGGCATCATGCATGCTTCAGTTTTACTAAGCTGGTAGCTTATAATGCTGAACTTTCATCCTTTTAAAGCACAATTGTATAAGAAAATGAGAAAATAAGAAAATGCTTCATTGGTTAACATTCACACACAAATAATTGTTGAGATTAAGGTTGCACAATATATTCTTTTAGCATCAACACTACAATGTGCACAATGGTAAGACAAACTACCTCGAACACATCATTTACAACATTTATGTTCCAGTTTAAGGGCTCTAAGTTTTTTTTTTTCATACTTCATTTGCACATTACAAAGTTTGTTGACATGCAGTGTTGATGTCAGCCGCAAAATGAGTGAAGAACAGGAGAGAAACTCTGAAATGGAAGATTTGGCTACACTGTCTATACATAAACACAGTGCCCTAATTGTGTCTTCTTTTTCCTGTGTTTCACTCTGTCCTGCATCAGGTGGTGGAGAAGGCATATCCTGCAGAACCGGTGGGTGTGGTTTGCAGAGTGCGAGGGGTCTCCCAGGTGGTGGAGTACAGCGAGATCAAACCAGAGACGACTGAACTTAGGGGACCTGATGGGGAATTTCTCTACTCCGCTGGAAACATCTGCAATCACTTCTTTACCAGAACCTTCCTGCAGGACGTGGGAGAGTAAGAAGCTGCACAGCATTACACTGATTTGACTGACAGAGACGACAAACAGTTGGTGGAAGAACTAAATTGAGCAGTGTTCAGTCTGCGCGTTGATTTGAGAGTATATAAGCAGAGATTTGTTCATGTCAGTTTTGAGCATGTCTGCCCATTTCAGTGGGTATTGCAGTTGGATTTGCAATTTGATTTTTTACAGTTCTTCTTCAGTTCCATATTCGCTGTGAAATCGATTTAAAACACATGATGGAATATTATGGAGGTGTTATCGTAGCAAAACTGTTTGTAAATATGTATGGAGAGTTGTGTGTCTGTAGTGAGATTTGTCAATGTGTAAAAAGATCTGTAAATGCGTAAAAAGATATTAATAGAAGAATAGTCTTAAGTATTTGGCTACAAGTGCTGGAAATACAGACAAATCACCAGTTACAAGTCCAGCAGGCCTCATCATTGTCTGTCTTTTTACACATGACTTTTTGCTGCACTTCTGCCATGAGAGATGCGTATCTGTAACTTCAGGGTTTCTTTGCCCTGAGCTCAGGCTCACAGGCTCATTCATTCTGGCTGTGTTCCACTCTGCTGCTCTGTACCTCAGTAGTTATGCCTTCTGCAAGCCATCATGAAAGTTTTTGCTCAGCGACCCACAAACTCAGCAAATGTAGCTTGACAATGTGGTGTGCCCTCAAACACCCTGGAGGATAGCGCCACCTGATGGCTCGCAGGCATCTGTAACACATCTTTTACAAATCTTTTACACATTCACAAAGGAGGATATACCTTTAATTATCTGTTGTCATGATTTTACATTTCGTTCAGTGCTGTAAAAAAAACAAAAAACAACTTGCTGCTGATTCTTTTCATCTTACAGGAAATTCAAGAGCCAACTGAAACAACATGTTGCCATTAAGAAAGTACCGTTTATAGACACATGTGGCAATCAAGTGAAGCCTACCAAGCCCAATGGCATAAAGATGGAGAAATTTGTTTTTGATGTCTTCCCATTCTCAAGGTAACGATGTCTTCAGCTCTGTACATATTGACAGATAGAATGATAACCTATATGTATACTGCTAGTTAAAACCTTTACTGTCTGTCTTTGGAAGGAACTTTGTTGTGTTTGAGGTTGTGAGGGAGGATGAGTTTTCCCCCCTGAAAAATGCAGACGACGCAGCCAAAGACAATCCAACCACAGCCAGAAACTCTCTGCTGGCTCAGCACTACCGATGGGCCACATCTGCTGGAGCCACACTCCTGGATGAACATGGCAATGCTCTGCTTCCATCAGCCAGGTCAGAGGAAAATGTCCAACATGCTCTACACCCAGCAGGAACTGAAGCTAACATGCATGAGTTGTGTGTGACAGCTCGTCTATCTGACAGAAAGAAAACTGTCATTTACTGTCAGTCCTGCTCCATGTTGGGAGTCATTTATGATTATAAGTAGATAAACAACACAGGCTGCACGGTGGATCAGTGGTTAGCACCATCACCTAACAGCTAGAAGATCCTCAGTTCGTGTCCCGGTTAGGACGCCTGGGATCTTTCTGTGTGGAGTTTGTATGTTCTCCCTGTGCAGCGCAGGTTCTCCTTGGGTTCTCCAGCTTCCTCCCACAGTCCAAAAACATGTTGAGGTTAATTGGTGATTCTGAATTGTCCGTAGGTGTGTGTGCTTGTTTACCTCTATCTGTAGTCCTGTGATAGACTGGCGACCTTCTTAAATGAAAAAGTTTGATGAAACATTGTGAAAGCTCAAACGGGGTTGTTTTTCCTACTAAAACCGAAAGTCGCGTATGATGTGTTGACTAGTGGAAAGTTGAAAATCATAATAATAAATAATAACAATGAAAAACTTAATTTGTTCTTTATAATTATTAAAAAAAACTCCCAACATGGAGCAGGACTGATCAGAGCCTAACAGTAAATGACAGTGTGTTCTTTCTTTGTAATTATAAATAACTAATGAAGTTACTGCAGCGTTGTGTTGTTTGGGCATAAATGTGCACAGCTCTCTGTCTTCAGAGACGCTCATATAGATCCTGCTACTGTTTGATGCTGCAGGTATTTAATACTCAGAGAAAAGACACATAAAAACAGCTCAAAGCAAAAAAAAAGAACTTCAGGTCATGTTAACGTTTCGGGTGTTTGTGTCACCTCTGTCAGGTAAAGGCTCAAACTGCGTACTTCCTGTGCTGTCTGTGGTCGGCTGTCCGGCTGAATGGCTGCTGCGGCACACAGCTGTTGCAGTTATCTAATGCTGCTGTCACTTGCATTTGCGCACCATAGTTAGACCTGTTAGATGTGGAGTGGCTCCAGTGTGGGATGGACGCAAATAGAGAAATGAACTAAGAAAAGTTGTAGTTTTGAATTAAATTAATAATAATTGTGGAAAAAAATGTAATAAGTTTGATTTAGTTTACTTAAATGTTCTTAATTGGAGCAAGATATGATTACCTTTTGTTACATTATTCTACAGAAATATGTATTTCCAAGCCACAAAGTAGTTTTAAAATTCAAATATAAAACAGAAAAGATTTCAGACTTAAAAAAACGAGTGTTGTCCAAAGTCTGCATTTTAGTAAATACAACTGTCTTCCAAAGAAATGTTGACATGATCACAGCAGCCAGTAGCGCTTTCATATACAGGTGTGTGCGTGTTGTTTTCACTGGGAAAAACGATCTAAACTTTTCCCTGAAATCTAAAAGTGTGTGTTTATTTTTTTCCTCATAGTACATCAGCAAAGGACAGCACTCTGGCACAAGTTGAGATTTCACCACTGGTCTCATACTTTGGAGAGGTGAGAACTCAAACACAGAGTGTTACTAATAAAAGACGTGTTTTCTTCCCTGTTGGTGGACATCAAATGCACAATATGTTCTTTTGTACATTTGTCGTGCTTAACTCCCATTTTATTTCTCGCCTGTTAGGGTCTGGAGCAGCTGCTGAAAGGGAGGACGCTGACAGCTCCCTTCATTCTGGATGAAAAGAGGGCCAAAGAGCTGCAGGCTCAGTAGCATCTTTCTGATTCAATGAGTGTTGTGTGACTGCAGCAGACATTCCAGCGTTGTGTTGCTCAGATGTCCAGAGTCTGGATGCACATGCCTGAGTAGGTTCCGCCCAAGGATGCACAATTTCCAAAATGAGCTTCGGACTGTATGTGATTATGATGACATCAGGCTACTGTGTCGTGCATTTCATGCCATTTTCAACTTGCTAAGCTACAATGTGATGTAATCAGTTCAAAACCAAGAAGGAAGCAGTGATGAGGTATAGACATTTATAATAAATTGTTTGGATTCACCAACAAATAAATCGTGTAATAAAAATCTAAATTGTGTGAAATCATTCTACTTTCTAGTTTTGAGCATTTTTCTTA